GTGGGTGCGGGTGCCGGGCCCGCCCCCGGCCCCAGTCCCGGTGCTCACTGGCTGTTCCCGCAGGTGGGGAGTACAGCGAGGATGACGTGAGCGAGCTGGTGCGGGAGGATGAGGAGGAGGCGCCGCGCAGCCCTCGGCCCCGCGCCGGGAGGAGCCGCCCCGCTAGCAGGTAGGCCCAGCTCCCCCCTCCGGTCACCGGTTCCCGGTGGGATAAACCCGCCCTAACCCGGCCCGGGATGGGAAATGCTGTTCTTCCTTCCTGGTCGGATCCTCAGGCTTGGAGGACACTGCCTGGACCCCCTTTCCTCTGCCAGGAACTCCTTATTTCACTTGAAATGAGCTTTTCCAAGCCCAAAACGCTTCTGGGGGGCACAAATTTGGGCTGTTTTAAACGGGTTCCTGCTCTGCCCACCTTCTCTTGCCTTCCTGGTTCCCACCACATCCCATGAGATCCCCACAGACACAGCCCATGAGATCCCCACAGACACAGCCCATGAGAACCCCACAGACACATCCCATGAGATCCCCCCAGACACAGCCCATGAGATCCCCACAGACACAGCCCATGAGAACCCCACAGACACAGCCCATGAGAACCCCACAGACACAGCCCATGAGAACCCCACAGACACAGCCCATGAGAACCCCACAGACACACACACACCTCCCAGCCTGCTTCAGGGCACTGACCCCCCTACATTTCCTGAACAGCATCATCTTTTCCTTAAGGAGCTTCCCCCCCAAGATGAGGACAAACCCCCCCAGGTAGAACATGAGAGTGTGAAATACCACATTTGCTTCACTGGTGCTCACAGCTCAGCTCTGGTGTTGTGCTGCAGCACCTCAGGGTTTTTGTTTAATTCTTTTGCCTTCCAGGAAGAGGAAGAAGGGAGGTCTCCTGCTAGAGGAAGAGGAAAAAGGGGAAGAAAAAGCTCAGCCCAATGAAGAGGAGGAGGAAGAGGAAGAGAATAATGGAGAGCAGGTGGAAATAAGCAGAGAAGATGAAGAAAAAAAGAAAGAGGATGCTCTTTGGGCCAGCTTCCTTAGTGATGTGGGGCAGAAACCCAAAGCAGGGGCTACCACACAAGTGGCACAAGCAAAGAAGGTAATGGAGGGGGCTGGGCTTTCAACCAGGGTGTGTGGGAAGGGGCTGGAGCTTTTCAGCACACAGAATTGGTTTGAGTTGGTACCAGGTTCCACTCTGAGTTGGGAAGAAGCTGGGTTCATCCTTCCCCGTGGGTTTTGTAAGTCTGGAGCCCCACTGTGGGGCAAAGTGGAAGCTCCTCCTGATCTGGGGAGGTCTGTGGTGCTTTTGGAGCTGCCTGTCAGCATCTCAAGTGTCCCCCACCCAGCCCTGTTGGCTCCTCTTCCTATTCCTTGGCTTCTCCTTCTGACAAGGAGCAGCACAGTTGAGCTCAAGGCCAAGTTGTGCCTGTGGGCACTGCTCTCCCCCAAGGCCTTTCCTGTGGGAGTGGGGAAGAGAGGTGAGCTGTGAGAGAAATCTGGGGGTAACAAGCTATTGAAAATGATTTGCTTCTTCATAAAACCAAATGCACATGTTGGCCTTGCAAACCCTTTCACACATAAGGTGGCAGAAGGGAAGAAAGTCCCAAAACTTGGACCTTCTGTTGGTAGAATTGACCTGGGGGTTTTTGGAGTGGGCAGCCCAGGAAGTGTTTTGGAACAGAAGTCTGGATTCCTTACTCTGTGTGCCTCTGAGCAGAGTTTTCCTCACTGTTGAGGCTCCTTCCTACAACTTTAGGAAGGCTGCAGGGCAAGTGCAACCTTTTCTCCCAACTTCTACAAGTCCTCCTTCCACCTGAACCCTCCTGGTGGCACTTCCTGAGCCAGCTGAGGTGGTCACAAATAGAACTGGAGAGAAGGAGTGAGGCAGAGTTCTCTTCTGAACAATTCTGCTTTTATGGACACATGGGTTAAAAAAAAACAGGGAGTGGTCTTTGGAAGTTCCTCCACAGCCTGGAATAATTTATGAAGTGATGTGGTTCCTCTGTTCTCTCTGTGAACTTCCTCCTTTGGGCTCACAGTTGTCTGCTTGAAGATCTCTGAGGTGTGTGGTTGGATTAGGTCAAGAATTGGGATTTTTTGGCTTATTTATAGGGTCTGAGTTTCTTTTTTGAACGCTGCTACAAGCTGTAGTGGTGACTGAGGAAATTAAGAGGCCTGGCTGACAACTTGATGAAAGAGATTTTCTCCTCAAGTTAAAGAGATTTCATTGACAAGTAGTTTAATATCTCCAGGCTTCTCCTTGCTTTTCCTGTGCTGATGGGTTGTGTTCTCCTCTATTCTTGAAGAAAAAATAAAGCTATTTCTATGTCACCCAGCCTGGCAGGGCTTTGTCTGGGAGAACTGAACCTTCAGGCTTTTCCTTGCTCACTGAACCACACAATGTTGCTCCATCCTACACTGAATTACAATTTCCCTCCTCCTTTGGAGTCTGTTTTGATCCTTGAGCTCCAATAAGAGCCTGGAACTAAAGTGGGGAATTTCCTTCCTGTGGCAGGGATGGGATTTTTTTCCTTTCTCTTGACTTGATTTTTTTTGAACTCTGGTGCTCCCTGGGGTCTGCTTTGGGTCCTCAACCCCTTGAGCAATAAATTTAGCCTGGCTCCACAAAACACATTGTTTTGCTTTCTCCTTCCTGTCAGGCTGAAGAAAAGAAGAGTGAGAACAACCTTCAGGAGAAACCAAAAGAGTCTGAGAAGCCAAAAGATTCAGGAAAAGTGACCATCACCAAAGTGTTTGATTTTGCTGGGGAGGAGGTCAGGTAAGTTGGCAGATGTGACACATCTGGGGGCTCTGGGCGTGGGCTATGAAGCATGGTCTGTTTTCTCCTTTCCACTTTTAGTTTTTAATCCTGAGCACAGTCAGATCTCAAGGAAAATGAGGCCAAGGTTCTTCTGCCTTGAGGGCTGCAGTCTCCTTATCTGCAGACCTTGGTCTTAGCTCAACTTCCAAACCCTCCTGTCAATTCCCTGAGGCTTCTCCATCTGGGCAGCATTTTAAAGAATTGGCAAAGCTTCTTGGTGCCACTGCCACTGTGGAGACTGAGACAGGGAGGACATTTTATTCTTTTTATTTCCTTTATTATTCCTAGTCCAAGCCCTGTGCTGGGAGCAGGACATTTGCTGGCACTTCTGGTGGTGAAGTTTTGCTGCAGGGACTAAGAGCTGAGTGCTTTTACCTCTGAAACAGCTACAGTGAGGGTGGTGGGTGGAGGAAAAATCACCCTTTAGGCTGTTTGACTCACCAGGTGGGTCTTGGGATGTGCTGCAACACGGGACAGGTGTTTAATAAAAGGGAAAGACCAGAACTGAGGAGCCTGGATGGACACACCTGGAATCTGGATGTTGCTGTGACCTTGTGGGTATTACTGTGGTGTCATGAATATTTTTTTTTCACATGTAACTGGAAGTGGTTTTGTCAGAATTTCGTCTCTCTTGCGTGGGACAGCAGAGGGCAGCAGTTCCCAGCAGGAACACTCACTCTCCCTGGATCTGGAGGAGGAAGCAGCGAGCTGGGGCTTCCGCTGCTCCCGCCTTTTATCTCCCGGAGCTGGGTGACAAATCTGAGAGCCACCAGGCACAGTAACGACTTCCCTGTTTCCCGGCACAATCCTGGCTGTGGGAATACCCTTCGTTCACTGATGAGATGGCAAAGAGCTGCAGTTCTTCTCGGGGAGAGCATCCATCATGCCCTTTCCATGAAGGAAAGGCTGAGTCTTTCCCATGGACAGAAAAAAATCTGCAGCAGAATTACAGGCAGAAATTTCCTTTTCTGATACACACTCCCCTCCTCAACTTGTTTGTCCCTCTTTTTCCTGGGCTGTTTTTTTTTTGCTTCAAGGACAATGTTCTACCAGGTGAGAACAGGAGAAAGCTGTAGGATCAGGTTGGGTTCTGAGGTATCCTTAGGTGATTCATGGCAGAACTGTGCTCCTGATGCACTGGGGCTGCAAGAAATCACCACACAAGCTTATTTGAAGGCTCAACATGTCCATCTGGGTGTTGTAGGTGGGGTGGCAGGTCCTAACATGACCACAGAAGTGTGTCAGTTCAAGGAGGGGGCTGCTTGGCAGGGAAATGTGCCTTCTGGGCATCCTGCAGAACAGGAGCCTGCTGCTTGTGGACAAGAATCTTTCTGGTGCCATTTTTTGGTGAAGTGTGGGGCTGTTTAAATAGGGAGCTAGTAAAATCATCTGCCTTGAAGCTTCTTGTTTACCAGTCTCTGAAAAGAAGCCCCAGGTCATTATGATGGAAGCAGAGAATTGCTCAGGTTTTGGTCTGATCCTGGCACTCCAGATTTTGTGAGGCTGCTGCAGGCTGGTTTTGTCAGTGCTGCTTTTGCTTTTCTTGCTAATATTACGTGGAGGGATGGGGAAACTTTCTCTGTCCTTCAAAAAGTAGCTTGTTTTATGTGAACAGAGCCTGCCCAAGGCTCCTATGATGCTGAGTTTGTGCTCTTGACATCAGTATCTTTCTATATATATTTTTTTTAATAGCTATAAAGTTTTCTGTGTTAGATAAAGGCATATTTTTCTGCACCAATTGCTTTTCTAGTGTCCTTTGTACTGCTCAGCACTGACTGTTTCCCTCAGGGAGAGGGATTGATACAGTTTTCTACTAAATGTTTATCAAACAGGCAGGAGCTGGAGCCTGGGTAGCAGTGGGATTTTTCATCCTACAAACCACCAAGGCTGGTGTGGATTTTGTTCACAGCAGCCCTTGTATCAACAGGCTACAGAGCCAGCAACCAAGGTTGCAGCCAGGTCTGGAGGGGCTGTTTTCTGCTGGTGCCAGAGTTACAACATGCTGCTTTTCTTTGCTAACAGAGAAATCCTTCCATGCTTTCTGCCTCCTTTATTTTGGTGACGTTCAAACCTGGAGCTTTTGCTTTGTTTGCTACATCTCTCCTCTCTAAATACTCGCAGCAGTGGGTGGAATAGGAGGAGTTAGCAGTGCTTGCAGCTGCTGGGGCTCTCCTGTAGGGCAGGAGGTGAGGGCCAGAGGGCTGGTTTTCCTTTGGAGCAGCAGGAGGTTGTGTCTGCAGGACCCCAAGGTCTGCAAATGCTCTGAATGCCACACGCTGACTTCCTTGCCTGGGGAAGCAGCTGGCAAATTGTTGGCTACACAGTGTGTGTGGGTTGTGTGTGTGTTTCTGAACTGAGGGGACTGAAATGAGAGAGCTGGCTCTGTTGCTTTCCTTTCTAAATGGTCTGAGGCTGCTTTTGAGTGTTGCATTTTGAAAGCTTGAGAGGAATTCAGAGCAGTGTTTCTGCACGGGTAGAATCAGGGCACAAATTTCCACAGTCTGAAGCTCCTCACAGATCATTTCGCCCTTACCTCATGTTGCAGAACAACTTGTTTTCTCCTGTAAGAAAACAGAATAATCTCTCTTGTGTGGTTGGGGTTGTGGAAGTCTCTTGGAAGAGATCTCCAGCTGCAGGGCTATGCTAGAATAGTGACAGACCTTCCTCTTTAAGCTGTCCACTCCCCTGTGGGTGATTGTTGCACTTCATATCCATTTTGATTGTGTGTGTTTCTGTCCATTGCTGCTGCTGAAATTCAGGTTCAGAGAATTACAAATTACCACTTCCCAAATAAAGAATCAAATTCTAGTGGCTTTTAATTTTATAAAATCCATTATTTAGCATGACCTGCTAGAACCAAAGCTGGTGAATCCTGGAGTTAGAACCAATCTTTAACTGCTTTCTGTGTCCTCCAGTTTGGAGTATTTTCTGCCTCCTTTTCCTTCCCCCCTGGTGCTCAATAGATTAGGAGCAGCAGGTGACTGTCACCCCAGTGGCTCTAATTGTAGAAGCAATTTGCAAAGGCAGTTCAGCATCTAAATCAAGTTGTTTCTCACTGGCAGAGGAGATTGAGGCCCCTTTTGAAGCCTCTGGTTTATGAACTGACCCCGTGATGCAGGACATGGGGTTGCATTAATAGGGAATTGCATCCCTGGTGCTGGGGTTTCTCTGTTGCAAAATGGAATTGCTCTGAGAGGAGGCTTGTTTTGTCTTTGCACTCCAAGCTGCTTTGGCCCTTGGCTTTCTTTTAAAGTGCTGCTGGGCTCAGTGGATCCAAATGGTTCTTCTGTGCAGCTGTGTCCCCATCCAGGACTGCAGCAGAACATGGTTCACCCACGTGGAGCTGGCCCAGCCCTGTGGTGTGTCAGTCACAGTGTCACAGCTTGTGAGGGAAGAGCAAGTCAGGCCATGGAAGGTTAGCAGGAGGGAGTTGTAGTTTGAAACTTCTTCTGTGTACCATTGTTTGGCTTGTGGGAGAGAAAATGAAGTTGAGAGGTGTCTGGTTTGGGTGCTAATCCAGGAACTGGGAGCCTTGTGTTTGACTCCCTGCTGTGCTCACACATTGCAGACTCCAAGCAGAGAACTCAAAACTGGGAGCTTTCTATTCCTGTGCCTCTGTGCTTTGTTCATGTGGTTTACATCCAAAGCTGGGTTGTTATGCTGGTGGGAATGCTTTCCTGGTATCCCAGATCTGTTATGCTGTTCTGCCAGTGTTGTGTTGTGCTGGCAAAACTCGGAACCTCAGCCATATCCCCATGAGCATTACCACAGCAGCCAAGCCAAAGCATGGCCATGGAAGGGCTCCACTCTCCATCTGTCCCTGGGGAGAGCTCT